CAGAGCCTCAGGCCTATGAGAGAGGCCCTTCTATGAGCTACTATCCCAACCCCACTGTACTCTTTTGTGCTTTTGTCCATCTGTAGGTAGGATTCACGAGACTTAACATGCAGAAGACCTCGGTTTCATTGTTTATGTGTACTCTAGAACTTTGCTCACCAATACAATAGCCACTAGCTATTTGAATGTGGCTAGTCCAGGAGTAGAGCCAGGACTAGAGGAGTGGCTAAAGTGGTAGAGTGCCACAGGAAAAAGCAGACTGAGCAAGCACAGGCCCTGAGTTCAAACCACGGAAGGAAGTTAGGAAGGAAGGAAGGGAAGGAGGGAAGAAAGGAGGGAGGGAGGAAGGAAGGAAGGAAGGAGAGGGAGAAAAAGGAGGGAGGGAGACAGAGAAGGAGGAGGTAGACTGTAATTGTACCAAATGGTACTACCAGCTGAAACCCATTGTTGTACTCCAAAAAATTGAGGTAGAATGTGTGTGCATACTAGATTTCAAAAAGTTAATATTTTATAGGTGAAAGATCTCAAATGGGTGTATATATACAGGTACAATAATGATTGTTACATCATTATTTCTGGTATTGTTAAACATTTGCTCCACATATGACAAGAAAAAAGTAAATGATCTTATTAATGTTATATAATGTTTAATCACTCGTTGAAATGATTATTTGTATTTGAATCAAATGTGTTATCAAACTTGATTTTTACCAATTTCTTTTTATTAGCTTTTAAAATTATATATTTGGCTTGTACCATATTTCTGTTGGACAGTGCTACAGATGGAAAGTTGTGAACTCTAAGCATATCATACCATATAAGCTGTCCCACAAACTTCGGAGTGGTACTTAGGCCAGATCTCAAATACCTAAAATTGGTAGCCATCTTCTGCTAAGTGTCAGAGCTCTAAGGAAACAAGGAGATCTAGACCTCTCCATCCTGGTAGGTCCAAATACTATGTGATTGTATGGCTTCATGTTGTAAGTACAAATATAGAATTTTCCTGAATTCTTTTTCTTTTGTGTGCCTGTACCAAAGGCCTATGGATTCATGTTGAGTATGAGGATCCTGAAGTTCGCCTTGTTAAAACTAGGAAGTGATGGAAGAGGGACTTATCCTGTGCATATAGACTCACATGACTTTACTGTTGAGGTATTCGAGAATCTAGTTAGCAAGCAGGTATACTTCATTTCTTAACTCTTAGAGAACTGAAACCATGGGGAAATAGTAACACAATAATAAAGCAATAGTAATATAAAATGATATAACTGGCCAGTGCTGGTGGCTCACACCTGTAATCCTGGCTACTCAGAAAGCTAAGATCTGAGGATCGCAGTTCAGAGCCAGCCCAGGCAGGAAAGTCTGTGAGACTCTTATCTCCAGTTAACCACCAGAAAACTGCAAGTGGTGCTGTGGTTCAAGTGGTAGAGTGCTTGCCATGAGCTTAAGAACTGAGGGACAGCACCCAGGCCCAGAGTTCAAGCCCCATGACCTACAAAAAAAAATTGATATAACTGTATCAGAGTTTATCTGCCACCTGTTGCCATTGCTTATTTTATTTGATAATGCTTCTCCTAATAAGTGCTGGTAGTGGACCATATTTTTTAGACCTTCAACAAGTATTTATTTGAGTACCAATTCAAAACACACTTCTGGAAATAAGACAGTACTTGAATGCTAAGTTGTCATCAGTGTATGACATGGTGTTCTGCCAGGCACCTTTTTTGGGTGTGTGTATGCCAGTCCTAGGGCTTGAACTCAGGACATGGGTGTTGTCTCTTAAGTATTTTTGCTGGTGCTCTACCACTTGAGCCACAGCTTTACTTACTTGGCTTTTTTGGTGGTTAACTGGAGATAAGAGTCTCCTGGATTTCTTGCCTGGGCTGACTTTTAGTCACAATCCTCAAATGTTAGCTTCCTGAGTAACTAGGATTGTAGGCACGAGACATCTACCCAGCTCTGCCAGGTACTTATAATTCATGTGTCAACTTTGCGTTGTAAGATAAATACTTTATCTTCTCAGAGGATGTCAGAATTTTTCCTTTTGGTTTCATTATTTTTTTTTTTGCCAGTCCTGGGACTTGAACTCAAGGCTAGCATTCTACCACTTGAGCCACAACACCACTTTTGGCTTTTTCTGTGTATGTGGTACTGAGGAATTAAACTCAGGGCTGCATGCATGCTAGTCAAGCACTCTACCACTAAGCCACATCCCAGCCTCTCATTATTTTTTATTTAGGAAAGGAAATATGTGTAGTGAGGACAAAAGAGAGGCAACATTTCAGTGTTTTCTATTCTTGGTTTGCATTCAAAGTGATTTTTTTCCTCATATGAAATCTAGGCATGGAAACACTTTCTCAACTAATTGGAAATGACATTACTGCTATAATTACAATGATTTGGAGAGTTAATTTTAACTAAAATAGGCATTGGCATTAAAGTGTGGATACTATCTCATATATATAAATTGTTGCTAATTTTTTAAAAAAATATTAGTAAGTAGACTTTAAAATATGAGACATTGTATACCACTTAACTAATTTTCTAGTTTTCATCCTTTGATTTTGAGTTTTACATTGAGGGTCAGCCTTTGTGACAAAGGTTTCACAGAGAAGGCCTGGAGAGAGCTGGATGGGGCCTGTGTATACCTCTCTCCCTGCTGACAGGGCTCTATTTTCCTTTTATAAGAGCTAGAAGCATCACTGGATTTCCCTTCAAAGGAATGTACACACTGTGCATCCCTGCCTGAGCATCATATGACCCTGTCTGTGCATCTAAGATGAATGGAAAATGGAACCTCTGCCATCACCATTAGTATAATGTCAGCTTTCTTTGTTATTCCTGTTCCGGAAATGTATATTGCTAATTGCTTGAGTATTTGCCTGCAACTAGAGAATCTGTTTGGTTTATTTAGAAATAAGGATTTAGCCGGGCACCAGTGGCTCACTCCTGTAATCCTAGCTACTTGAGAGGCTGAGATCAGTTCAAAGCCAGCCAGGGCAGAAAAGTCCCCTTGAGAATCTTTTTTTTTTTCTTGGTCGTGGGGCTTGAACTCAGGGCCTGGATGCTGTCCCTCAGCTCTTCAGCTCAAGACAAGCGCTCTACCACTTGAGCCATAGCACCACTTCCGGTTTTCTGGTGGTTAATTGGAGATAAGAGTCTCACACACTTTCCTGCCCCAGCTGGCTTTAAACCTCAATCCTCAGAGATCCTCAGATCTCAGCCTCCTGTGTAGGTAGGATTACAGGTGTGAGCTCTGGGCACCCAACCCCATGAAAATCTTATCTTTAATTAACCACTCAAAAACTGGAACTGGCACTGTGGCTCAAGTGGTAGAGTGCTAGCCTTGAGCACAAAGGCTCAGGGACAGGGTTTAGGCCCTGAGTTCAAGCCCCACAACTGGAACAAAAAGAAAGGAGGATTTTCCTCTTAATGTGCATAGGTTTGTTTTTATTTAAAAATAAATTGAGTTGGGCACCAGTGGCTCACACCTGTAATCCTAGCCGCTCAGGAGGCTGAGATCTGAGAATCGGGTTCAAAGCCAGCCCAGGCAGGAATGTCCCTGATACTCTTATCTCCAATAAACCACCAGAAAACCAGAAGTGGCGCTGTGGCTCAAGCGGTAAAGTGCTCACCTTGAGCTGAAAAGCTGAGGGACAGCTCGCAGGCCCAGAGTTCCCAGAGTTCAAGACCCAAGACTGACAAAAAATTGTTTGCACTGGTGGCTCAGACCTGTAATCCTAGCTACTCAGAACCCTGAGATCTGAGGATTGCTGTTCAAAGCTAGCCAGGGCAGGAAAATATGTGAGACTATTTTTTTTTTTGTCAGTTGTGGAGCCTGACCTCTAGGCCTGGGCACTGTCCCTCAGCTCTTCAGCTCAAGGCTAGCACTCTACCACTTGAGCCACAGCTCCAATTCCAGCTTTTTACCCACTGTTTTATGTGGAGCTGAGGAATTGAACCCAGGGCCTCATGCATGTAAGGCAGTCACTCTACCATTGAGTCACCTTTCCAGCCACCTTCTCAGCCCCCATGAGACTCTTGTCTCCAATTCACCACCAGAAAAATGGAAGTAGAGCTGTGGCTCAAAGTGGTTGAATGTTAGCTTTGAGCAAAGGAGCTCAGGGACAGCACCCATGCCCTGAGTTCATGTTCTACTACCTGCAAAAGAAGATGATTGATGTAAGCAAAAATAATTTCTCAGCCAGGTGCCAGTGGCTCACGCCTGTAATCCCAGCTACTCAGGAGGCTGAGATCTGAGGATCATGGTTCAAAGCTAGCCAGGACAGGAAAGTCCGTGAAACTCTTACATCCAATAAACCACTAGAAAACTGGAAGTGGTGCTGTGGCTCAAGTGGTAGAGCGCTCGCCTTGAGCTGAAGAGCTGAGGGACAGTGCCCAGGCCCAGAGTTCAAGCCCCACAACTGACAAAAAAATAAAAAATAATAATTTCTCCTTTTTTTTTTTTGAGCCTTTTTGCTCAAGGCTAGCACTCTGGCACTTGAGCCACAGCTCCAGGTCTTTGCTTTTTTTTGAGTAGTTAATTGTTAATAAGAGTTCTTATGAACCTTTCTGTCTAGGCTGGTCTTGTATAGCAATAGCAATGGTCAGATCTCTGCCTCCGCGTAGCTAGGATTACAGGTTAGAGCCACCCTGTGCCTAGCATTTTGTTCTTATTGTTTGAGATTAAAGTCTGAAATCTGTCTCCCCAGTGATGTGATGGTAGGTATGCACCAAAGTCATGGGGCTTTTCGCCTGGGTGCTGTCCTTCAGCTCTTCAGCTCAAGGCTAGTGTTCTTCTACTTGAGTCACAGCACCACTTCCAGTTTATTAGTGGTTTATGGGACATGAGTCTCATGGGCTTTCCTGCCAGGGCTGGCTTTGAACCATGATCCTCAGATTTCAGCCTCCTGAGTAGCTAGGATTACAGGCGTGAGCCACTAGCACCGCTCTACCTACATTTTAAATGTAATATTAAATGTGTTTTCCCCCTCTCCCAGGTTTTCAATTCAAAAACAGCTGAACTTCTTAGTCATCATCAAGTGGAAATAAAACAGGAATTCCCAAGAGAAGGGTATGTTGCCTAATTTAATACGTAAAGACACGTCAGGCTTATTGATTCATTTTACCCACATGCTCTGTGGATTTGTGAAGTAAATTTGGCCACTCTCGAGAAGACTTGAGGGACTCGGATTGGTCAAGAAAAGAAGCAATAACTCAGTAGTTCAGCAAAAATATGTGGGTAATTGGTGACTTGAGAATTCAATAACAGAACAGGATAGTAATGGATAAAGGATAGCAAAAGAATATTAAGTATCCAAAGTTCTTTGTTAACTTTGAAGTCATTAATATTTGCATCCCCATTATTGCCAAAGTGATGTTTTACTCGAGTCTAAATTTTTTAAATGAAAGGAATTATTGAAGAAATTCACATATCTAATACAACAATAATCATCCTTTTTTAGAATAGTGTTCATGTGTAGTAATAGCAATTAAATATGATTTTGAGCATATTGATTTAAAATTTAAAGATATTTCTGATAAAACACCTTGAAAACTATATGGTACTTTTGTATAAAAATTAAACACACACCTGCAGCAGCAGAAATTTATCCCAAATAAATTGAATGGAGATAGTCACTGAAAGGCTTTCATATGAATGTTTATAGCTATTTTACTTATAATAGCTCCAAACTGAAAACCACTCATGTCTGTCATTATGGAACAGGTTATAGTGGAATACTATTCAGCATTTTTAGAAAGTGAGTGGATACAGTATGAATAAATTTCATTGCTTTGATAGATAATGGAAAACGTACACAGCAGTACATACTCTGTGGCTCCATTTATCTGAAATTTAAGAATAGAGTAAACTAATCTAGAACAGTAGAAATCAATAAAGTAATTTCCTATGGCATTTGTGACTGACCTGAAAGGAACATGAAAAAGCCTTCTGGATTGATAGAAATACTCTTCTAGGTTCTAAGTTGTTTGTTGGATAGGTGTATTCATATGATTCATTATCTTTTCATGAAAACAGTTCTCTTGAGTTTTTGTTGTTGTTGTTGGTTGTGGGGCTTGAAATCTGGGCCAGCTCTTCAGCTCAAGGCTAGTGCTCTACCACTTCAGCCACAGTACCACTTCTAGTTTTCTGGTGGTTTATTGGAGATGAGTCTCATGAACTTTCCTGCCTGGGCTGGCTTTGAACCATGATCCTCAGATCTCAGCCTCCTGAGTAGCTAGGATTACAGGCATGAGACACTGGTGCCTGACTTCAGTTCTCTGATTTTTAATTGTTTTTTCTTTTTTTGGTACTGGAGAATGAACCCAGGACATTGGACTTGCTAGGTAATGGCTTTGCCATTGAGCTACATCCCAGCCTAGTTCTCTGATTTTTAAATAGAGTCCCTATAAGCTTTTTATATGTTAGTAGCGTTCAAATGACATAGGCCTGAGTCCTCTATTTAGAACAAGGATAACTAAGACTTGTGTGGATTAGAAATAGGAGTTTGGGGTTTGAAAAGAGAATTTAGTGATAGTACTTATTAAGGAAAAGGAAACATTTAGCCAGGCTTGAGGAAGACAGGGAAGAAAGACACTTGAATTTTCATTGCAGTTTCCAGATCTTTGAGTAGAATTTTTTAGTTTGGGTTGCTTCTACTTTTGGGTTTCCTTAAATCAGTTTAATTCTCCAAGACAGCTTGTCTCATTTATTATTAGCCTTTATGCTTCTGAGTTGCTAATACCTTACCAAAATTGCTCTGAGACTCAGTCTGAAAATTTAGATCAATCACTTATCTAGAGAAATAGTTATTAGAAAGAGGTTAAAATGTTTCCTAAATTTTAATAAAACATTTTAAAAAGGCTTTTATTGACATATATTAGTTATACAGGGAAGGTTTTGTGACATTTCCATACATATATACAATGTACCCTATCAAATTCATCTCCACCTCTCCTTTATCATCCTTCCTTTTTTTATATGGGTCCTGGGGCTTGAACTCAGGGCCTGGGCACTGTTCCTTAGCATTTGTCCTCAAGGCTAGTACTGTACCACTTGAACTACAGCTCTACTTTAACCAAATTCTTCCTAATTCACCTTCTTTGTTAGACTCCCCTTTCCTGCCGGTATCTACCATCCTTCCAAGAGAGCCTAATAAGTGAAAATTTCTATAGAATTAAGTTACTTTTGTATTGATTTCTTGTAGACTAATGCTATACATTCTTTTGTTCAAAGATGGGTAGAACAAGACCCAAAGGAAATTCTTCAGTCTGTCTATGAGTGTATAGAGAAAACATGCGAGAAACTTGGACAGCTCAATATCGATATTTCCAACATAAAAGGTATTTTTAAGAGCCTATCTTTTGCTTATCTGGTATGACTCTCCATCACATTCACTAATTTATTCTTTCAGTTCATAACCAAGTGCTTAGTCCATGCCAGCCATTTTAGTCCATGCCAGCCATTGCTGAGAGAACTTAAGGAGTCAATAGTGAACACGATTAGGTCTCTGTTCTTATGAATATTTAATCTTGATGAGGGTGAGATGAGCTAAAAGGTGACAAATACAAGCTAATTTCAGATACTCACAAGTTCCATGCGGAAATCGTTTTAAAAAACTGAATGGAGTGCTTAGAGGCAGTTACTTCACATTCAGCGGTCTGGAAATGCCTCTCTCAGGAGATGACATTTGCTGAGATTTAAAGGCCAAAAGGCATCAGCTAGGCAGCTATGGAGGGGAAGAGATGGAAGAAAAGGAAGCAGCACAGGCAACGGCCCTGATTTGAGACTATAAATTGGGTCAGTTTTGGATCAGAAAGAAGGGCAGCATGTCAAAAGTTTAGTAAAAGAAGGTTAAGGTGCAAGTGGGAGTGGGTACAAAGTTTTCAACAGGAGCTGAAATTGGAGAAGTAGATAGGTGTAGGGGCTTGTCAGCTATGATTATGCATTTGGCTGTTAGTATCACAGGGAGCCATGAGAAGGTTCTAAGCCAGTCAGCAGAACTTGACTTGCAGTTTAAGTACAACTCCCTAACTGCTAAGTTGAAAGTGGACTGTAATGGCCTAAGTGTGGACACTGGGAGACCAGTGGCTACTGTGGAAGCCCCTACCAACAATTGCATGAAGGAGGGGAAGAAGTACCACTGCTCATGGTAATAGATCAGTGAGGTGAGAAGTGATACCCTCTACTTTTTACTGGCACTGGAATAGATGAGGATGCCTTAATTAAGGGAAGAATTGGAATGAGGTGGGGGAAGGGAGTTTGAAATCCAAATGCTACAATTGTAAACTTTCCTCAAAATACTTACTTGAAAGTATGCAATTGTTACAGAGCTCTCTATATTCTTAGTAGTTTTAATGGGGGTATTTATGTACATTTTGTTTTTCATTTAAATGGGGAGATAAAATATTCCAGTCACCCAATATTGATATAACAGAGTAAAGACTGCCTAGAGAGGCAGCTGCTGTCTCTTTATAGCTTATTTCTATAGCTTGTTTTCGTTATTATTATTTGAAACAGTGGGTCACTTTCATATTGTCATAGCTATATGACTTACCAGAAACTTCCTTGTATTTGTATCAGTAAAAATGTATTTAAGCTTAAACAGAAACTTTCATAATCAATATTTCATTTCAGCAAATCCACAGAAGAAGGAATAGTAATAATAAGAATCCACTGATCACAAATAAATGGAAAATCAGCAATAATGTAGTTATTTCTGTTATTACAGATTTTTAAAGATTTTTATCAGCATGCATTAATTGTATAACTTTTCCATTGTGACATCTCTATGCATGCGTACCATGTACTCACTCACGGTCATTCTCACTATCACTCTCATCCCAATTTCACCCTTTTAAAGCAATTTCAGCAGATTTCATTATTCTGCTTTCATATATGCATATAAAGTACTTTGAACATATTCACCATTACTCACCCTCTCCATTCTGCTCTCCCAACCCCAGCTGATACTGCCTCCTCATAGAGCCTGTTTTACTTTCCTGTCATTCCTTTTTTGGCATATATTGTACAAAAGCATTTCACCACACTTTCTCACATATGCATATAATACTTTAATCAGACTACTCCCCCTCTCCTTGTTTCCCCACAATCCTTATCCTTCAGGAGCTATTAGTGAGATTCCTTATGCTATCTTCATACGTAGCTACATTTTAATATTATTTACCCCCATTTATTATTACAGATTTTTTAAAAAAGAAAACACCTAGGAACAGTTTGTCAATTTAGTGATTGTTGTGGTGATTGTGGGATCAAACTCAGGGTTTCATACTCTTGCTTAGCTTTTTTCTCTCAAAGCTAATGGTCTACCACTTGAATTTGACCTCCACTTTCAGCCTTTTGGTAGTTAGCTAGATGTAAGAGTCTTTCAAGTTTGTCTTCTAAGGCTGACTTCAAACAATGATCTTTATATCTCAGTCTCCTGAGTAGCTAGGATTACAATCATGAGTCCTTGGCTCCCATCCTCTTTTGTTAATTCTTAATATCATATGCATATGAATCCTGCCTTTCAAACTTCTTTTAGTATTGCAGTTACTAAAATTTAGAAGACTTGTATACCCCAGTGATCATTTCCTTGAGGTATTCCTAGAGTCTAAAAAGTACAGCCAGATAACATTGCCTAAGCTATACATGTCCAAAAATGTAAGAGTCCAGAGTAGTTTAACATGGCAATGATGTTCTACTTTGCTTATAGGTAAGGTGGGCTGCAAATGTATTGTCTTTCTGGACCCACTTGGGCACCATATTTTTTTTCATTTTTCATTATCACACATTAGCTATACAAGGGAGGAATTCATTGTGGCATTTCTACACATGTATATGAGGTATTCTAATCAATCTCTTCCTATTTCTCCAATGTGTCTGTTTCTCCGTGTGTGTGTGTGTGTGTGTGTGTGTGTGTGTGTGTGTGTGTGTGTGTGTGTGTGTATCTGTGAAGATGACATACAACTCCTACCTAAGTGACTTCTTTTTGGTTTGCACTAACTGGTTGCCAAGAATTCACACATAGCTCTCTTTAGGTTGGCCAGTATAAAACCCGTATGTGAGCCAAAGTGACCAAGTACCTCTTTTTCTACAGCTACCAGCCTATGGCCAAGGGTGAAAACATCTTACAAGTCCTTCTGTACCAGGCCAGTTGCACTAATTTTTCCTCAGTAATTTATTAAATTTGCATTGCCAATTTCCTAAATAGAATGCTAGATCCCAAACAGTTAAAGCTATAAAGGATCTTCCCATCATCTGAAGTAACTAACTCTCTTTAGGAGTTGTAATGAGGGAAGGAGACTTATGCAGGTCATAAAACTGTTTACTGGCAGAGCTGTTCAAGTACAGTTCCTGAATTCTTAGACCTGTACCTCCCTTTTTTTTTTTTTGAGACACACTGATGATAATATCCCAAAGTATTTTAGTTTATAATTCCTACATTTCAAATATTTCCTTTGCTAATTGAAAAGTAGTATCATTTACACTCTTACCTGATGTTCATTAATAGTTTTTGACATCCTTAGGGTTATATTTCTGTAACAAATTCCTGATTCATTGGTTTTAGTTGATTTCATCTGTTAAAAGTTCCTTGATTTCAGATCACCAGGAGCAATGCTTCTAAAATTAAAACACACCAGGCATCAGTGGCTCAAGCCTATAATCCTAGCTCTACAATTTTCACTTTGCTGTGTACTTTTAAGGTTTTTCTTTTTTCTAAAATGTGTTTTCACTGTGATCAATGGACTGATGTCAATACTAGGGATCAAACCGAGTGCCCTTAGCATGCTAAGTGCCTTACCCACTGAGCTCTGTGCCCAGTCTAATTTTCTTTCTTTCCTTTTTTGGGGGGATGGGGAAGTGGGCTGGTCCTAGGATTTTAACAACACTGGGCCTGGTGCATTGTCCCTGAGCTTTTGTGCTTAAAGCTAGAGTTCTACAACTTGAGCCACAGCTCCACTTCCAGTTTTTTTGGGGGTTTTGTTTTGTTTTGTTGCTGTTTTTGTAGTTTAGTGGAGATAGGAGTCTCATGGACTTTCCTGCTTGGGCTAAAGTGGAACCAGAATCCTCTCAGCCTCCTCAGTAGCTAAGAATACAGGCATGAGCCACCAGCACCCAGCCCTTATTTTTATTTTTAAAAGGATTCACATAATGCTACCAACACAACAATTATTAGTGTCTTGTAAGTCTTCTTTTTTTGTGTCATTTGTAGGGCTTGAACTCAGGGCCTGAGTGCTGTTCCTGTGCATCTTTGTGCTCAAGGCTAGTGCTCTACCACTTGAGCCACAGCACCACTTCTGCTTTTTCGGTGGTTAATTGGAGAAAAAAGTGTCATGGAGACTTTTCTGCCCTGGCTGGCTTTGAACCATGATCTTCAGATCTCAGCCTCCTGAGTAGTTAGGATGTAGGTATGAGCCATTGGTGCCTAGCCAGTTCTATGTATATTATTTTTTAACTGTTGTAATAATTTTTGTGAGATTTTTATTTGAGACAGAGTAGCTTTGTAGCCCAAGACTGGCCTTGAACTCAGTAATCTTCCTGCCTCAGTCTCCTGAGTACTGGGATCTCAATGTGTGCTGCTGTGCCTAGCTGATTATAACCTTTATTTTTTAAAGTCCATTTTGTGGTTTGAACTCAGGGCCTGCTCAAGGCTAGCACTCTACCACTTTGAGCCACCATACCACTTCCAGCTTTTGAATGGTTATTTGGAAATAAGAGTGGACTTTGCTACCCAGGCTGGCTAGAACCATGATCCTCAGATCTCAGCCTCTGGAGTAGCTAGGGTTACAAGTGTGAATCACTGGCACCCAGCTGATTATAAGCTTTTACAAGCACTTTTAACAAAATTTAACCAGAGGTTTTAGATGTTAGTTTTTACTAGTTTAACTTTATTACTGAATATGTAGGTACAATTTGTAATGGTGTTGGTGGCTTATGCCTGTAATCCTAGCTCAGGAGGCTGAAATCTGTGGATTGAGGTTCAAAACCCAGCTGAACATAGTGAGACTTATCCCTATAACCAGCAAAAATTCAGAAGTAGGGGTATGGCTCAAGTGGTAGATCCTCATCCTTGAGGGAAAAAAGCCAAGAGATTGAGAGTTGCTGAGTTTAGGTCCCAGTACTGGTATACACAGAAAAGCATCAATTCATATTGATTGTGAAATCTGTTAATGTAAGACTATGGACAATGAAATGTGTGTTTTTTATACATTTAACATTCATATGCCTCTAAATGAATGAACTAGAGAGGAGAATTTGAAAACTCAAATATATTATTTTGTTTATTTTTATTTTTAAAATTATTATGAAGGTGATGTGCAGAGGGGTTACAGGTATATCA